AAGATAACGAAAACACACAAAATGCACTCTTTTAAAACTCTCTTTCTAATACCAAGCGACTCACGCTTGTACTGATCACAACCGATTTCAAAGGATTCTGTTTTGGTTGTCAAGGACCACGCTTTTATAATTTCCTTGACCTACGTTTCACCTTCCCGTAGGGGAGCTACGCAACTTAATTTTACTATATAGAATAACTTTTCGATTTGTTTCTAGAAGGTATTGATCGGTTTACAATTTGTTTTTGTTGGTAAAAGTTGATTTGCTATTTCTTTAGGTATCCTACAATATCATAATATTAATGAAAGGTAATTTGTAAATTTCTATAACTAATTTATTTTATAATAATAATTTGTTAATGTTGTATATAAATTATTGTTCAATGAATTAATGATGCATGAATTGACTGCAATGTGCTTAGTCAATTAATTTTTTTCAACAGTTGAATAATATTCGACCTAAGAGTAAAAAAAAAAAATAAGAAATTATCATTTAAAGAAATAAAATTTGATGATTTCAGGGGACAGGTAACTGTTCCGCTTCGATAGCTATATCTCTAGTTTAAAATTACCTTCTACATTAATAAAATTTGGGATAATCAAAAAGTAGAAGGACTCTGTCACAATGAAAAACTGAGTTTTGTCGGATGGATAGTAGTACAGTTTTCGTAAAAATAGGTAAACCGCCATGTAAAAGACGCAGATATTGTACGATGTTTCTTTTAAATTATCTGAGAAAGAAACGTGCTGCGATAATTTGATCTGAAAATTTTAGTCTTTATTTTTGATTCAATTTTATGTAATGAATCACCTGATGATTGTATTGTGATTTTACATACATCCTGTCCGTATTTGTATTGTATAATATAATGCATCATTATATTGTATAATATAATGCATTGAGTTTTAATATGCAAATATTGAACTATATTGAATGAATGAATTAATAATGTATTAATTTATATTATTTTTATATGTATATACAGAATGTCCTATACAACTAAAATGAAAATATAGAATTCAATTTTTTTCATATGGGACAAATGATAGTTCATTTGATGAAATAAAGCAATATATATTTTATAAAATAATGCAATATATGCTTTATAAAATAATGCAATATAAGCAATATATCATAGCAATCCAATTTGAAAATGAGAATTATATGTTCAACAGAATGGGAAATATTTTTAACATTCTCTAATAAAGTTATTGTGTATGGATATTCTGTTCCCTTGTATGTTTTCAAGACCTTAGTATGATTAACATAAATGGAAGTAAATATCCCTACAGTGAGGCACATACAGTAAGGAACATCCATGTCCGGCCAAACAGACAAAGTCAAGGAACCTCAGTGTAGGGATTTTAAACCACATTTAACTCATTATTAGTAGCAAGAAGTCTTTATCTTGAGCTACTATTTACTGATATAACTGAATGGAATATTCATCATCCAAACAGTCGAAAAGTGATCGAGGTGAGAATCTACACAGAATCTAATAAACGAAGACATACAATAATGTTGGGCTAAATTGTGAAAGATAGGGAGCCAACATTACAATTTAACCGGACAGGATACCTATTTTTCCAGGAATTGACTTGAGCATTGCCAGATAAAGGAGGAGAAGAGATATAACGAGAGAAAGCAAAATTGATATAGTACGTCGAGTAGCAACAGTCTAAATCAGACAGTTCAGTGGGATATTTTTATATTAATTTTGTAAAAGTGGTGTGAATGCATCGTTCAGATTCGTTTGATTAAAATGAGTCTAAACATAATATAAATTACTCTAATTTCTAAGTTATAATAATTAACTGAATGTAGGCAGCAAACTGATATTTAATAATATAACAGAATAGTCCGATTTACGTGGTCCTTGGATTTGTTTTAATCAGTAAGATTTCAGCAATGCATTGGCGCTACTTTCTAAATATTAAGATGAAAATTTCTTTTCGTTTCACCGATTCTCTCTCCTTGTCAAGCGTACTTAATTTCGCTAAACTCGGGACACCGATTAATGGAAGAAGAGTGGAAATGGTATATATTACAACTTATACGAGTAGATTGCATTACAATTTAACGGAGCACTATTGTACTATACATTGCTTACAAATTGACGTATCGAAGAAATGCACATTCAATTTGTTATATCTGTAAGGAAGGACAACGTATGTTACATATTTCCAAATATTGTCGTTTAACACGTTCGCAACGGGGCCTGAATTTACTTTCTTCGGCGTGGGTGGCATCAGACCTTAGACTATATTGGTCTGAAAATGATATGTACGGTAACAACCGTATATAATATAATGAAATGTGATCATTTCTTGACCATTTTGAGATATTTACATTTTCCCTATAATACAATGTATTATACAAAAATCGAGGACCCCTTGAAGAAAATTAGCATCATGGAAGAAATTATTTATATATGGAAGAGTGCAGTAAAACCGAAGAAAACTGTTGTAACAGCTGAGAGTATGATATTATGGCCGAAAACCCATGCCACTAGAAGTAAATAAAAATCAAGAACGTGGTGAAATATTTTATGGTAGTTGAAAATAATTCTGATACAAAATTCGTCAAGTGGATTGATGAGAGAACTGTTTCAACGATAACAATTTGCAAAAATTGTAAATGCCCACTAATCCAAGGAAATCAGATCAGATATCATCCTCTTATAGTTACTTAAGAAAACTAATAAAATGGCATAAAAAATTGTACTACACTACTTTATGGCACAGCAGTGGTCAATACATTAATATGTATTGACATATAGTAACAGATAAAAGTTTAAGACGATTGAAAACTAGAGTTTAAGCATCTTATATGCATATTGTTCTTCTATTCGGTTTGTCCCTTTGGAATAACAGTTGCATGTTTAACCTTCGTATCCTCAGATCGTCGCTTATAAACAATGTAAACAATGTAGAAGTTACAACAGTTTGTGTTCAGCATTTGAAAACAGTGGACATTAGTTTAAAATGATTTGTGTAAAACATGAGTTTGAGTATAGTTTTCGAATATTTTAATCTTGGAATGTAACAATTATTGTTTGGTGTGGCTTGCTAGGTAGAAATAAATTATAGGGACCAAAAGCTTTATTTGAAAATGAAAGCGAGGAAATCATAAGGCTGCGAAAGCAAAATGAAGCTTTTATAAAAACAGCAAATATAGTAGGTAGGTCAGAAACGGTTTGTAAGCAAGCCTGGTATAAATTTTTAAAGACAGGCATGTGTTGCGATCATCCTAAAAACGGTAGACCATGCAAAACGATGCACAAAATGCATCGCTAAATTCGTCGGTTATGCGAAAAGGATCATTTTCGGTATGCAAATAGTATTGCTGTGGAAATAAATTGGAGATAAACTGGAAATGATACACGCATTAGTGCTAGAACTCTTAAGAGAAGATCAAAGTATTTTGACTTAACAGGCCAGAAAGTCCAGAAGAAACCACTGCTGATTGTGAGTTCTAGAGATTGGAAAAGACTTGCATTTGTTAAACCTTATAAGCTTTGGACAAGTGAAAATTAGCAAAAAGTATCGTTTTCAGACGAATCAAAATTCAGCCGCGTCTATTCTGACGGAATATGATCCATAAGACGTCGAATTGGCGAAAGTTTGAAACCACAGTGTGTTTTAAAAACTCTCAAACATGGCGGTGGAAACGTTATGATATGAGCGTGTTTTCCTCAAGGCCAGATCCTTCAGGTCCTGGTCAGATATGTCATATCAATAGAATTATGGGCCGTTTTCGATAGATCGACATACTCGATAACGCTATGCTGTTATTTGCACGCAACAATATGAGCAAAACAATGATTTTATTTTTCAAAATGATCATAATGATCCAAAACACAGCGAGTGACGTGAAACACGTTTTTAAAGAAAAAAATATTACCATGCTGCCGTTGCCGTAGTAATCACTAGACATTAATCTAATCGAGAACTTGTAGAGTATAATAAAAGAGACAGTACAAGTTTGTAAACTGAAAAATTTAAATGAACTTTACAATTGAAACAGTTTGGAATAATTTTACCGTGGACAAATGTAAAAAATTTATAGATTCTGTGTCAAGAAGATAACGCAAATAAAGCACAACAACGATCATTTTATAGAAAGGTATTTAGGCTCTGCAAGAGTTGTATGTAAACACTGTAAAGAATTTTATAGGAAATTATCCGAATAGATGGGCGCCATTGTAGCTGCAAAAGAAGCCGTGTGTTACTATGTTTCACTCTTTTTGAGATAATCAACCTCCTTTGTACTTACAATGTTTTAAAGAAATTTATAAAGATAAATAGTAGAGATTTAATGTAATAAGATTTAAATAAATTTTTTGATTAGAATAATCACTTTTTTAATTGCTATGACGTGGTATTGGTGCATGTATCACCAGTGGTGCAGTCCATCCCTCGAGATTGGCACGAATGGTACAGCCTGTGCCGAACGTGTTAAACATTTGATCATCGATTCTTCTTATTAGCATTCGATTAACCCTTTCGATACGGAGGAGCTGGCCGCGGTTATACATTCGTGGTACGAGGAAATTTTCCACAAGAGTGGTTGCACTGGAAGCGGCGAAAACGAGTTTTGCGGTATTCATAGAAATTTCGAGCGTGATTGACACTAAACTTTTTATTCGGATCACGACAGTCATCGGTGACGTTTCGCGGATGCCGCCGATAGGCGACAGTAGTATCTAGGGAACGTTTCGCGGATGCCACCAATAGGCGACGGTAGTACCCACAGAACGTTTCATGGCTGCCGCCAATTGACGGCAATAGTACCGAAAGGGTTAAATTACAAATTCCGTTTGAGTTATCTGGATTTTAGAACCTATATTGTTTAGACTTTTTTTTCTTCTTGGTATGTACTGTAAGCACTTAAAGTCTTTAACACTTGTTTTTTACTGTCCAATATACACTGATGTTAAAAATTATTGAAATTTTAACATGATATTTAAAGAGAACGGGTCATGTCTAATCCATGCTCTCTTTGAAACTCTTTATCCTCTCGATGAGTAGAATATAATGTAAATAAAAAGGAAGAAGAAGAAACGTGCACAGAAGTTGTTAAAAAGATATCGTAAAAAGATAAGTGACAGTCTAGTTATTATTAAAGTTGCACATTGAATAGCAGAAGGATACCAATGACCTGTGGACATTAATAGAAAATAAAAGAAATGCGACTATCAAGTGAAATCATGAGATCATGGTATTATAGGAAGCTATTTTAAGAAGAGAAGTCGCGAATCGATTAATCGGTACGACTTTATCGGCCACGAAACCTTGCCACCAGCCATAAAATGTTCAATAAATACATTTTTGTTATTGTTTTGTGAATCAATGTATTTATATTATTGCTTCTACTATGTAATAAACTAGAATAGATAATAAATGAATATGTTATTATTTTTCCTTCAAATCAATTTGTTTAGTAGTTATAAGTACTTGTACCACGACAACCGTGTTGTGCCAATACTTTTGTCCAGCACTGTATATATTAACACTTTACCGACCGGTAGCCTATTAATCGGCTTTTTGTCGCCGACACGTACCGACCGATAGCCTATTAATCGGCTTTTTGACACCGCTGTTTACCGACCGATAACCTATTAATCACCTAACCTAGCTAACCTTTTTTTTCTTTTACGTGGCGGAAATCTTCCAAAGATACCAGGCCGCCCTAGGGGAGGGGGCGGGGTTATGTGGAATTTGTACCCACTAAAACCCCCACGATAGCCATCCTAACGCGATATTGGAGCGCCCTGGACTTCGCGGCGACACAATTGCCAGGATGTCCCCGCGAGACATAACCTAACCTAACCTAACCGATAGCCTATTAATCAGCTTTTTGTCACCGCTATTTACCGACCGATAGCCTATTAATCGGTTGCCATAGCGATGAACAGTAATTTGTTATTTAGTATTGAGGTACGTTGTTCAGTTGCGTCAGTTGCGTTACTTTGTTAAGCTTCCACATTTTTATATGGGGGGCGCCAGGAAGAATCTGCAACTGAGCGGTCGGTCATATGTGCGTATGCTGTTAAATCGCTAGCGGTTGGTAAAGTGTTAATATATTAATATATAATTAATATAATTAATAATATATTAATATATAAATCTATGTCAACCATTACCACAAGTTTCGTCAGCCTACCTAATTTGTTGTTTAGAATTGAAGGTTTTTCCATTAAAAGAATTTTGTTAGGAACAGAAAAGGTGGTAGTCTGTTGGGGCAATAAAGGGGTATAAAGTGGGTGTGATAAAACAGACCATCCAAGTTCAAGAATTTTATCTTGAGTCATGCTTGCTGTATGTGTTCGCGCATTGTCGTATAAAAGAATGACATTTTTACGATTGACGAGTGCAGGACGCTTTTCATGGAGTTTCTCTTGCATTATTTGTAGCTGCTGAACGTATCTATCGGTAATAATCGTTAAATTTGACTTCAATGATTCAAATTTGGATTATGCCTCGACAATTTCAACATACACGTGATAAAATCTTTTTGCCATGAATGTTCGCTTTCGAATCTGGTACGTATAGTTGAGCCTTATCAAGCCACTGTCTTTTATGAACGATATTGTCATAGATAATGATGATAGACCTGATGATAGATAATGATAGACCTAACCCATTTTTCATCGCCTGTTATAATTCTGTTTAAAAAGGGCTCAATTTTTACCGATGAGAGCAGACTTGTGGCAATTGAGATGCGATCTTCTTTATTCCGTTCACTGACATCGTGAGGTACCCATATTCCTAACTTACTGACTTCTAATTTCTCGAGATGGCAGATAACAGTTAATTGCGATTATTCATCTGTTTCTGCTATACCTATTGTCGATTAACGTAGATCTTGCTTCAATATTGCCTTTAACCAGTCAGCTGTGGCGACCTCTTCTTAGAGCGTGCACCTATGGTATCGCGAGAATCAACCAATGACGGGTATAGTCGTCAAACACAAACTAACAATAAGTGACGCTGTTAAAATATTGGATCAAAAAGACGGCTTTATTGTATAAAATGAACAATGTTATTACTAATATTTGCTCATTCACTTAACATTAACATATAGGAATGTAATCGTGGTACAGACATGTATCGTCATTTACGTATCCAATTTCAAATTTCGCTCCTAATTTACATATCGATATCGCTAGATATAATAAAGTTAAATTATTCGTTGCATTTACTGCATAAAATAAAACTGGTTAATTTTTGTCATAATTTATTCGTAATGTAGATTTTGCTATGTTATAATTGATCAAACTTTCTAGTATTACTAAGAAACTGTGATTTCATTTTAAATATGACATGCTATACCACAACGTGGAATATAAGACATCAATTTTGTGTACTAAGATAAAATTTTATCTGAAATATTTTTTTAGGAAAAGATGTTAAATATAGAAAATACCTTTTATAGATCTAGTTTTTTTTACACAAAAGCTTAATTTACTATTTATTATAATTATTATATAACTACTATATTCGATTAATTATAAAATAGCTTCCAAAAAGAAATTTTATACTAATTAAAATAAAAAAAGAAATATTTATTTATATCAAATATAATATGTTCTATAAATACCTATAAGAAAACATCATGTTACAACAGACTCCGTGGCGCAACGGTAGCGCGTCTGACTCCAGATCAGAAGGTTGCGTGTTCAAATCACGTCGGGGTCAAAATTGGTGTTTTCACTTTTTACATTTTTTTAAAAAATGTAATTTTCTGCGAATGAAAAATAATATAACTTTAAATTGTATATTGTGATTAGTAATATTCAAATTGCCCTTATAAACTTATAAAGACATGAACGTAATCTTTATTTATTTGTTCATATCCATTGACGTGAGTCAGATGCATTGGTTAAAAATTATAAATGTTTTAAAATGAACTTAAACTTATCATCGACGATAACTTAATATCATTTTTGCATTGTAATGCCTCTACTAACTTTTGTAATATAGAATAATTATGAAAAGTATTGTAAAAGTTTATAGCTTTCATAGTATCAGTTTGAACATATACTATTTTTCGTAAAAACTCAAAAAAAATCGTACTCTCAATTTTGATGTATAGTGTTCATAGACAAATTTTGATAAAATGCATTAATATTTACTACGAAATAATCAATTATTTAAAAACATTTAATAAAAAAGCAAAATCAAATTTTGATCTATAGTATAAACAAATCACTTTTCCTAAAAATTTTTTTGTTGATTAAATACCTTTAACGATATACTATATGTTCCCTTGTTAGTCAGCTTCTACTGTAAGGAAGCTATAAATTTTGTTAAAAATTAATTTGAGTTCTACACACTGTCTTCTTGTATCATAATAAAACATTCCCAGCATTCAATGCTTTAATATGAAATGAGATTAGGAGAAATATCATCAATTGAAATGTAATCTGCAATTGAATTATGAAAATCTAAGAAGGTTTTGGATTTGAGGAATATCGAAACAGTTATTTTCAGAAAAAGAGACTTTTCGATTCATTAATTTAATCGCCTATCATTCTAAAACGATTCATTTTTTGTAATAAACTTAACTTGTCTTAAATCTGAATAGCTATTTCAATATTCGCGCATTCTGACGAGTAAAGTAGCCAGTGTTCCATGGGTACCAACTTATATAAACCGTGATTTTAAATGAATGTGAAATACGTAACACAGAATACGGTATTGACAAAGTTTATCAGAAACTTTTCATGTGACAGTTGCTAGAATTTGTTATGTACATGAACGTGCTCCTTTAATATTGCATACAAAATTTAGTAGGAATTATCTTTGTACTTCATGATTGATGTTTTAAATGTCAAATCTAAATATGAAATAAATGTTTCAAACAAATGTGTTTGTTTGATATGTGATAATCTACAAATTAGTATATATTGTTACATTCTATTTAAATTGTAAAAATATTTTGATGTATTTAAAAAATGACAGAAATAAATTGGTATGCTTTTAATGTTTCTTATGTCTTTTATGATTGATAAAAATTTCAAAACTATTAATTTTTTGTTTCTTACAGGATTGCAAAGCCTATGAATTATAAAACAATACAGTTTGCACCTTTGGAAGAGGTAACAGATCATCCTTTAAAACGTGCCACGGTTATGGTAAATATAATTTAACAACATGCATGTAGACATAAAAGCATTTTATCTTTTGAGTTTTAATGATATATTATATATAATTTTCATAATGCAATATAAAACGTGTTTATTTAATTATTGATATAGTTATTTTATTGGTACAGTATATGTAATTATGCATAAAAATATAAGATATTAATGTATTATAAATTACATGTTTCTAGTTAATTGATGGTCGTAGTGGAACAAAGCGTAATGTATCACACAGTACGAGTACTGGTTCCTCAACTGCTACACCAACACCAACTCATACACCCATTCCTGGGAATTCTTTAACAGATCCATTATTAAGCCATTGTTCCTTTGATGGGTCAGATCCTCTTTCACAATTTGCTAAGGAAGAATTAGATCCTTTATCTAAGATGGCTGCCGATGAGGTTTTTAAATTATATTTTATTTAAAGTGTGATTTATAAATTTTTACATTACATATCATTTATGTTTTAAAATATAATGTAGTGGGATTACTCTCCTAATATAGTAGTCACTGGTAAAAAATCTGTGGATATTGCAGAAGAATTAGTAGAACCATGGTTAGCAAGACGTTCTATAATATTAAGCAAATATACAACATCGGAGAAATTATCAATAGTTACTAGTTTTTTACCAGGTGGTGAAAAAGGTATTATTTTTTTCTTAATGAGTGATATTAAAAAAAGAATGAAGAAATATAAACTCATAATTGAATCTATTATAGTTACTGTTAAAGTCCAACCAAGTGGTGGAGTTATTGATAAATTACGAACAAGATTGAAACAATTAGATGATTTTGAAGAAGGATCTCTTAGACAAATGTTAGATTTATCACAACAACAATACACTGCAAGAGTTAAACAACTAAATCATGAACTTGAACAAGCTTGGTATTCCGACCAAAGAGTTAAAGCACTTAAAATAGCAATTCAGGTTCTTGATTTTATTTATTTATTATTATTGATTGTGTTCAAAGAAAGGAGTAAATTAATACCAACTCATTTCAGTGTGCCAAATTATTAGTACATACATCTGTTATGTCTTTTTATCCTGGCAAGTTTGTTCTTATCACAGATATTTTAGATATTTTTGGAAAACTGGTTTATGAAAGATTAAAGATTAAAGCTCAATATTACAAGTTAGTATTGGTTTATTTTAATATTACTTATAATGTCTAATTTAACAACATGATTGGACGAAGAGAAATAAATGTGTCTTTCAATAAATTTTGTTTATATCATTTAATTCATCTATATTTTTAATAAACATAAAAAACATATAAGGTGTATATGCAAAATTTTATTTCAAACTGAATTATGTTTATATGATTTTATATAATTTGATGATCATTATTATTATATATATATAAACATTAACTCTAGAACTACTAAACAAGTTAAAATGACTGATTTCAGAGTTTTTATATTTGCAGTTACTGAAAATATACAATCATTGTTGACAAAGTTAATATTATTTTTTAGTTAGATAGAAATGTAATTATAGGTATTTATTTATCTTCATCACATCATTTCTGTTATTATTATGTGTGTGTATGTGTGTGTGTATATATTATATATAATATGTATATAATATTTAAGTATATATTTCCAGTCAGTAGTTCTAGTATTAAATAAAACTCAAAGAAAATAATTTATGATATATATTATAAAGTATAAGAATAGAATAAATGTTTTGATGTTAAGGTCGACATTTTATGAATATCTATAGTATTTATAAAAGCAATCAAAATTATATTTGATGAGAATTGTAAATTATTATTACAAAATACGATACTCTGTAAAACTTAAAAGATAATTAAATATAATGCAAAATCTAGAAATACATTATTTTTTTAAATATAATATGTTCATAAACATTTATTGTTTAATTTTTGTTATAATACTATGAAAATAATTGCTTCATGTAAAAAGATTATGCACAATTTCGTATATAAAATAGATTATAAATATATTACTACATTCTATAAAATAATATAATTATAGAAAAATATATCTTGTTAAATATTTATTGTTGAGTTAAGGAAGTATGTGTATTTTATATTACAATTATTATTACTTTACATTACAGTGTGTATTTTACATTTTTCAGACCAGGAAGTAAAGTGCCCACAAGTTTACCTGATAATTTTACACCTGATATGGTACCTGAGAATGCAAAAGAAACTTGTAGAAATTGGTTTTATAAAATAGCATCAATAAGAGAACTAGTTCCACGTCTGTATGTAGAAATGGCAATAATAAAATCTTATAGCTTTTTGACAGCAAGGTAAAGTTACAACTGTTTTATATGTAACTCTATACTACTGTAGAACATTATTAATTAAGAGTCATTTAATTTTCAGTGAATTTAATACTGCTCTGTTACGAATAACGCGAATGATAAGGGGCATTGGAAATCCTCTCATAGCTGTGTATGCAAGATGTTATTTATGCCGAGTGGGATTAGCTTTAAATAAAACATCTAATTTTGAATTTGTAAGAGAAAACTTTTACGATTTTCTCTTTACGTATCAACAATTGTTTGGCCAATTTGTAAAGAATGAATTAGTTGAACAAAATATGACCTTATATTCTTATTTAAATCTTTACTCACCAGCTTTAGATTGGATTTTGCAAGTATTGGTAGCTACAAATTCTGAGAATTTTTTAGAAGATATTCTTTCCCGATGTAGGAATCAAGCAAATAGGTAATTATATATTTAACTATTTTATGCATTTATATAATGAACACTGATCTTTGTGAGATTAAAGTGTTGAAATATATCTTTTTGCAGTTCATTATTATTAAGTAGCATTTTAACAGCATTTAAACCTTCATATATTGCTGGACGTGCAATGGATTTTGTAAATTTAATAACTGCAATTGAAGATGACGGTAATTTAATAATAATGCAATGAATGATTGCAGTAATTAAAAATTTTGTATATATATTTCAGGTTTTCCACAATATCTTTTATATCGAAGTTTAGGTGAAAGTCTTGTATTAGAAGCACCACCAAAAGAAGACTGCCAACCAATTCTTAATATGATATGGAAATATATAACAGACTTAACAAATCCTAATAAATTCATGCATTGTATTGAAATTTGGATACAATTCACTGCTATTCATTTTTCTGTAAGTGAAACTAGCATTTTGATCTAAAAACAAAAATTTTTTAAGAAACTTTTTAATTTAATATTTTAATTTCGATGTTATAGGTAAATGAATTAAATCTATTTTTTGGAAAAATAATTGATCGGCTTAATCCAAATAAGAGTTTTGAACATTATTATCCACAATTACAAAATATTGTTGAAAAAGTTGTATCTCATACACAAGATTTCGAATCATTACTTGCTATGGTAATTATGGTTGATTAGATATGGTTGATATAGTGAGGTCGTAAAATTGATCGAGTAACGAATTATAAATATTATTTAAATATTTCGAAGAGATAAAGAACACGATAGCAGTGTATGCTTAAAGCACCAATCTGTACATAGTTCCAAATGTAACATCAGCAGTATTAATCGGTATTGCTTGATACAATAATTGATAACCTTGCTATTCGTTTAAATAATCTCAAAAGAAAACACTTTTTGTTTGTTACTTATCAGTTATCACTAACTTTTTTAAAATAATATACATAAATATTTTTTCAGGACAATTTCTTACCTCTAATAGATCTATTTCATAAGGAAAGTATTAAAGTTGAAGTGTGTAAGACTGTTATAGAAGGTATAAGTGCTCAGACCAGTCCTATTACTGATCCTATTGTTATAAATGCTCTTATGTTCATTGCTAGAATAATGCACGATTCTGTTAGGTAACTTTCTTGTCTTATAAATAAGTATTTGTTTTTATATCATATACAGTTGTTCCCGAATATGTGATCCAAAATGAATCTGTATTAGGATATTATATTTTAATCAAATTTCATATAACAAAGAAAGCGATCATATGGTGCTGAAAGTGAATAAGATAAAAAGACAGAGCAAATATTTGTGTTTATGGCAGATTCAATTGATGACAGGTCGAAAGCATAAATTTAGGCATTCAATAAATCATTCAGAAATAGGTTGTTGTCAGGAGAATTATAGGAATTTAATGATAATGGTTTCATAAAAACCTAACAATAAATATAAAAATAAAAATTTTTGTTATTAGATGAATAGTATGCTGTTTAAAATTATTTTTTGCTCTGTTATTGAACAATTATGTAAGACACGAGTATCATTGATCGTTGTTCATATTAATTTATAAAGCATTATTTACAAAACTGAGAACATGAAGCTAAAGTTTGATAATCTAATCACATTCAGAAAAATCTAATCACATCTGGGAACTATTGTAATATGTGTATAAATTTATTGGCATATTATATGTATATATTATATTTCCTAATATTCCTAATAATTTCTGATAAAATAATTGTAGTGCACTAACTGTTGAAGATGAAAAACGACAGATTGGTCAACTTATATGTGGTTTAGTTCAACGTGTTGATTATGGTCGTGATTTTGAAAAACAACTTAATTTTTATGTTGAAGCAAGAGCAGCTTTTCCTAATCTCGATAGTGTTCACATACAACTTGTACAGGTAGTTAATTTCTGATCATATTTTTAATATGGAATGCACAATGAAGTTAAAGATTGTGTAATTATCGTTTTTCTTAATATATAGTGTGTAAATAGACTGTCAGTTGATACACGAAAAATCGTTCGTGGACATCATACAAGAAGAACATCGGCATTTGTACGTGCTTGTGCTGCATTTTGTTTTATCACCATTCCATCATTGACTTTAGTTCACACACGGCTTCAGTTGTATTTGCTTTCAGGCCAAGTAGCACTCTTAAATCAATGCTTAGGTCAAGGTAATTAATTATAATTCGATATTTATTATATTCACTGTAGATATATAATTAATTAAAAGTTATTTTGTTAGCTGATGCATGTTTTAAGGCTGCGTTAAGTTTAGTTCCGGAAATGCCCAAAACAATTGATATAGATGGGAGACAAAAAAGTTCCCAACCTTATTTACTTTCATATTTATCGAATTTTTTATCAACATTACTTGTTGTACCGGTATGTATGTACAAATATAATTGTATATCTTTTTTAAATTATTTAATATGTTACTAGAAGGTATAACATTTTTTTCAGGATAGCCCAGAACATGGTGTTTTATATTTGATGCGAGGGTTACTTAATGCTGTTCAACGATGTTTTGAAGAAAATACATCAATTAGAACGTATTTATATTTACGTGTGCTTGACTTATTGTCAACAATAGTTCAAGAAACTTATCCATATCACGTTGAAAAGGTATTTTGAATAAGTTTGAAAATATATCAAAGAAACATAAAGTATCATTTCATAATTTTTATTATATATTTAGGTTGATTCTAATGATAAATTATATGGCTCTGATCAGAAATTTATAAGCGAAGTAAATAAAATAAGTTCTAAAATTATAGAAGAAATTTTAATTCATTTAAAATATCTTGGATCGAATAATCAATTGAAGAAACAAGCAGCTCTTGCTCTAGAGCTTTTCAATTGTTTTGTTATTAGAGCAGATTTACGCGATCCACAGTTAGCACACATGGCTATAACTTTATGGAATTTATCTCTGCGACATGATTTTATAGGTCCAAAACTAAAGGTAAAACGCATAATATGAATATTATTTTCAATAATTGAAATTAAAGCCTTTTTTTTTTCAGATGAAAATGATAGCTTATATGACACAAAAAAGCCATAGCGAAGAATATGAACATTTTGGAGACATTCTAAGAAAGATGATAAAATAAATACATAGGTCAAATGTCATAGGTAATCGAGGATTAGAATTATATGTTAGTCAATGGAAAGCACAGACAGAAAAACACTGACAAATGGTTTAAATCTCTTTTTAATAATTGTTTTGGAAGACATGGATTGTACATTAAATTTCATTTAATTGTGACAACATTTGTCATACATTAAATAGTAGCCCAAATATGATTTGTATATATTTGTATAAGTCCAACGAATTTGGCAGAATATCAGAATATCATAAATAATACTATTGAATTATACTATGATATTGTCAAATTTTTTATATAAACATAAATAGCATTTATACATTAATTATTGTATATTATATGAGACGTTAAAATTATTATAAAAAAATAATGCAGCAATATAAATATAGGTTCCATACATATTTTCTGATGAATGTATAAATATATTAAAATTATATAATCTCTTTTAATGGAAGACTTGATTTTGGAAGCCACGAAGAATGCATTCCAGTATATAGTATATAGCACTATTTCTTTAAAACTATTATTGTTTTAAAATAGATCGAAGAGTATCCAAAAATATATCCGCGTGGTTTTGCGAAAATGTCAAGGCTGGTCTTAATCTTACAGCTGCAGATCCACAGCCACCGGTTTGGATACCTGTTCAATAAGTTTTTCCCGTATTATATTTTATATCTCGCATCAATTTATTAATCGCAATTTAACACAAAAAAATAGCATGCTTGACGTACGCAGTATACGAATATTACCTTTGCTTAAAAGTTGCTTAATAATTGTATCTCGTAGTTCAGGCGAAGCACAGTTAAATGCAATGAACGTTCCACGTCCGCGCACTGAATTAATCATCGTAGAGAATTCATTTTGTAAATTCATTAATTGTTTTAACATATAATCGCCAACAACCGTAACTCTATGCAAAAGATTTTCCTTTCTTATGGTCTCTAATACTGCTTCTAATAATATTATTTTACTAGGATCTCCCATCCAAGTATTAAACACACGGTAGGATTGCTTAGGTCTGTAAAGTACACCGATTGAATGAGCAGGCAAAAAATTTGCTATGATAATTAAGAAATTTGAAATAATTTTACTTTAGAGATTCGGCGTGATAATAGCCACCTAGTTGCATTTTTTTGCTGAAGGTTACTAAGTCTGGAGGAGATTGTAAATCGAAATGTTCGTGACACCACATTTTTCCCGTTGGGCCGCCGCCTGTTTGAACTTCATCGATTAACAATGCTGCATCGTGCTAAAATGGTAATTCATCTATGAATGCTCTGTAAGAGATTATTAATTAAAATATAAAAAATAATGTCATATCGATTTTAAAGTACTACTTTTTTTGTTATACGCTGTAATCCTTGAAAAAATTCGGGAGATGCGTGATTGTCACCGCCTTCCGCTTGAATGGGTTCAACTATCACTCCGGCAACTGGAATTTTTTTCTCAGTTTTATATTTTTCGAATAATTCCTCTACCTAACAAAGTAACAAAAAATGTTATGAAAAATGTTTTCGTATTTTCCACGGAATACATGAGAACAAATTAAAATAAGTATATGTCCACTGAATTTCATAAACACAAAGATGATTACGTACTTCAGCTAAACATCGCTTATCTTCTTGCTGATTTTCTCGAGTATTTTCATTCAAAGGATATTTGTATGCTGGAAACGAGGCAGTGGGCCAATCAAACGCTGGAATATCTATCTTGTGAATGTATTTACTGTGTGTCGTTGAGAGAGAGCCCAGTGTTCGTCCATGGAATGCTCCTATTATCGATATTATTATTTTTTCAATTTATATATTTATGTTTTGCAGGTTATGAGACTAACTTAAATTTAATATGCTTCTGTGTAACTACCTTTGAATGAAAGTATGGAAAATCGCGGAGTACCAGGAACTTCATTCATCATGCATGTTTTCATTTCTTCTTGCGTAAATGCAGCACCCTTCCTTTGTTTTTCAGCATACCAGATAAAAATAGTTTTAAACGCATTTTCATTGGAACAAGAGCCACACATCATAGTCATGACATGGGATAATCCCGGTGGGGCAATCTGTACATTATAATATAGATACATACATAATATTACAAATTATATCGTAAATACATTATATTTAGAATGTTTCTATTTCGATATTTAAAAACACTAGCAAGTACATACACGTATAACTTACCTTTTTATGAAGCAAAATTTGTTTAAGTTTATCTGGCCAATTTTTCCCAGGAAAAACACCCAATGCAGGTCTATTCGCTATAATTCTCTGTGAAAATTAAACAATATTTTTATCATTCGGGATAATAATAAAATATTTTAATTTATTAACTACCATTGTCATTAATTTTCACTATGTTATTAATTTTGCGAAAAGACTGACATTTCGTTCTACAGCACGTAACGAAGAAAATATTTTTCGACTTTAACAAAGAAATCGTGGATTTAATTCTTAGCAGACAGTAGCTGTATTCGTCTTACGGAAATAATCTTCGGAATAAAGCTTCGAACGTATCACATAGAAAATAAACGAAAGGAAAAAGAATTCAAAGACATTTCGTTTACCTGATTAACCGGATCAGCGAGGGCTTTTAACATAGCTGGATGATTGTAGCCCAGTGGCATCGACGAAATTTGCATATAAACATCGAGCAGAGCATTCCCATCGACGTCCATTATATAGTTACCTACTGATTTTTCGTAGTCTGCGAAGAATTGTACGGAAGAGGCTTGCTGCAGTCACAGATTTCAACATGTAACCCATTTCATCTCTAGTATACATATTTAAAGAAGATTAAATGTTACAAATAGTACACGATTAATTTTATTACTCCTATAGATTTTACAACTGTCAAAGCTCATAAGCGAGGTTAAGTATTTTTATTCGGGCAATATACTATATTTATTACCATTAACTACACGCACTGCGATTTAATTACGAGAAACTGTGCATCGTAAAATTATTTCGTTTTAATTGCCCATTATATACCTATTTTATTCGCAAAAAATTATACAAATTTTTAGGAAAAATTTAGTATACACATTTTGCGCGTGTTAAAATACGTTAAATATAATTTTAGTCTAATGCGAATGTAATTCGTCTTTTTGGGGGTTAGTATATTTATTATCGTAGTATAAGATATTAAAATCAACCGATCTCGAAAATGTTCATTTTTATCGGACATTTCAAATGTGTATCGGACTCGATACACCGTCGATGTGAAAACTAGATAAATTAGCTAAATTGTATCGCGATGAGATGATTCGTAATAAGTTATAATAGGTTATAATCGAGACGTTCTCTCGAATTAACCTTAAATAACAACACAAGTGTCAAGAAGCACACTTTTCGGTACAAAGGAAGAACAGGCTATGACCTATAATTTATATTATAATTTATTTTTTCATTAGGCTCGATTATTTAGTATCAATGAAATGAAAGTATATCGGCATACGTAACATCTTTTCGTAAAATAAATATTTCTTCCAGTTTTGCTACTTATGCTACTTTCCACAAGAATATTTAAATTTAATATACTTCCAACGTTGCCAATATTCCTAAATGAAATAAGGAAGATATTTGGTATATCCAAGTGATCTTCAACGTACTTGTATCGCATTGAGTTCTTGCATTAAGCTACGTGACTGAGGTCCAGGTACTTCTGTCGTGATCACTGGCCTTTTTGGTTCCTCCGCTAAGGATACTGTCAGCCATCTCTTCCAAGAAACCGCGTGCCCTACGTGAATTCATAAACAGGTGATTTTTCTTCGAATTTAAACACGTTCGAAGTTGCTTTTAAACGAATTAAAACAAATGCGACGAGTTTTACTCGTTTATAAAGATCAATCAGAGGGCGTCTTAATTTTCGACAGATATCGAAATATTTTTATTTCATCGCGTGTATTGCAAAAAGAGGGTGCGTGGCTCGTACGAATCGCGTGTGTTTACATTCCTCTTTGTCCTCCACGCGTGGATAGATAAATCGTAAAATACTAATCTCCAGACTAAGATATTATATTCGATAGGGATCGAGATATTCCGATTCCTTCTGTTTAGATATCTAACACGGGATATACTTCATTCGCGATAAGATTCACCTCGGTAGAGTGTTGTGTCGTGGATTTCAATCACGCTACCCAGCCCTCGATTTAATAAATCGAGCGTTTAGTTCCATTGATGATAGTTAAGGCCAATTGTATATACTTGCGTGAATATTGTATTATGTACCAACGATAGCCTGTTTCGCAATATCTTTTCAATTACTCGGATGTGTATTATGGTATTTAATTTAATCAAATGGTTTTCTTACGTTTCTGTCTTATTGTATCTGTCTATTAACGATCATCTCGGCGTAAATCAATTTCTTACCCATAGAGACTCGTTACAAAATGGCTGATATCTTCCATTATTCACCGGTTGTAATACTTATTGGGATCGTTGTTATCGCGAAGGATTCATCCATCCGTGTCTTTTGTAATCTTTGTCGTAACAGATAACGATAAACTTATTTCATACCAAATTTAAAAATTTCTAAATATTTAAAAGATTCCTCTTCACCGTCAAAATATGCTTTCGTACACTGTAGTTGCAATCGTGTAAACAAATTGAGTAAATAAATATTATTTCGATATTACATTTACCTATACGTAAAGCAGTGTAGCGAATTTTATACGGTAAAGATATTTTATTTTATTTTATTTTATTTTATTACATTAATTACATATTAGAAATATTTTCTTATTTATTAAATGATATTTTTCCTAGACTAAAGGTAAGCTTGGTTTTATTATTCAGCGAAACTATAATACCACGGAATGTAAAATATTCCGCTGATTTATTTCGCGTTGACCTATTTTCTCCCACAAAAAAAATAATGTTATATATAATGTTATCATACTTTAATGATAAATTGCAATTAAATTTTGAATTACGTAACAGAAATTTGTCATAAACGTGTACGATAAGTGTAAATTTATTTGCATAAAAATGATTAAATCGCGAATATTGATCTCATTTGGAATTTATTTGCGAATGTACAAGGTTGATAAACAAGTTTATAAATATCGAAGAAGCGTATATACACTTAACATCGACGATTCGTCCAATTGTACGATATTCCAGATTTTGATAAGATAAGTAGTGAAATGGGTGCGGATATCTTTTCAGATAAGAAAGAAATACCAGAGGTTTAAAGGTCAAGGAAAGAATAATAGAGACTTAATAATCAACGATATTCAATCTCCTTTACTATAAAATGTGTGCGAGACTCGAGCGATATTTGTTCGAAGCGTATTAATTATACTCCAATTATCTTTTTAGGAATTAAAACTTTCCATTGAAATAAAATGACTTTTGGAGGAATCGAGGCGTAAAGATTGTTCGGTACAATGCCCGAGTACGAACATAAAACTAATAATACTTGCTTTTCGAGTTTTTCATTTTCGTCGTAAAAGATCGAATAACACGGGTATCGTAAAAGTGGGCCATTTAAAGCAGCAGCTCGAAATATTTCGTACGGAGTATACGTGTTGAAAAATATTTTCAGTCCACCGTAATATTCACGCAAGATTCGACGTTTCGTTCGAATATTCCAATGTAACTATTCGTCGAGGAAAATGTCAATGATACCTGCAAGACATCACTTCCAACATTGAATATCAACAAAATGGCAATATTTTCCACTATACATATGCGTATATTCGAGATGCACGCATTGCAAAAAGATTCGTCGCCCTACACG